AAACTCTGTAGGAGCTTCTTATCTGTGCCATTCTGTGAACTTTCATTAATCTGCTCCTATAATCCACTATGGATTTTGTTTACATCTGAAGTGAATTGTGTTCTGCAGTATTACAACTGTATTGTACTGTGCATGAATAGAAGCTCCATCTGATGCTTCCAGGCAGTTCCTGGAAGTGCTGCTTGGAGAAGTGCATGGAAACCTTTTCCATCTCTTGCAAATGGAAGCTTGAGCTGGAAGGTGAAGTGGTAAGAGAGCCATATTGCTTCCATGAGATGTAGCTTTTTGGCAATGAAAACCCAATGGGCCTTGCATAGGCCTGCTCTGAAGGTAAGTCATACAGTATAGGAATGACTAAATACTGTATATTATTTGACTTACGTGATATTATCATTTTATCAGTTACAACAATATACAGCATATACTTTTGGTTTTCAAATAGATCCAATCTCAAGTATATTGCAAGAAGCAGAAGTCCCTCTTATAACACATCAGAAATGCAAGGAACTGATGCCTGAGTACAATATTACTGAAAACATGATATGTGCTGGATATGACGAAGGTGGAATTGATTCCTGCCAGGTAAATGGTAACAGTGTTTGCATTGTTATAGTATAGTCAATAAATTAGTCATCACTTTTTCTGGTTCTTTTTTATAATGCAAACCTTTTATATAGATAGCAATGAGATAAAAAGTAGCACTATGAGAGATGTTTTTTATCATAATTACATCAGTGCTACTGTTCTGTTTTCATTTACCACTGTATGTTACTTTGAATTAGTTTGAAGAAAGTACGCTGAACATTAACATCAAGGAAATAATAAAAGAATCATTATTACAAGTGAAGTACTGGTCAAATCCATTATTCAAACTTAGCAGTTATTAGCCAGGTGTTCTGTCTGGATAATAGTTACCTATTAATGGATTCCCCTGTTCTTTAAACTTTCTGCATATGTTGAAAAGGAAGCCATCACTTTCCTTTCCATGGAGAAGTGTGTCTTTGAGATTGTGTAGTTTTCACTGGTAGACATTTTGCATGAGTCCTGCTACCTTGATTCTCTTCCCCTCAATTGCTTATGCTTAAGTCTTTTCCTTATGGCATATCTCCAAATATGGCAGCAGGAAAAAATATTATCTTTTTTCTAATCAGTTTGGCTAAAAGGAAAAAATAGTAGTACTATTGTCAACTTAACAAGGGAGAAAGGTAGAGAAGGAATGAAGGTTCATTCAAAATTTCACTGGTCCATCCAAGAACCTGTTCAAAAAACCCTGGTATACTATTGAAATTCAATAGCTCACTAGTTCTTGATCAGCTATAAGTAGCGTTTCAGAAATTATAAAAAAAATCACTTATTTAATCCCTATTATTAGCATTATAAAATGCTAATTTTACAAAGCACCAAGGGATTAAGGCTTCTGTGGATGTGTTCTTCTCCTCAGATGTAGATGTCTCCCCCCAAAATGCTACAGAGAGNTACTATTGAAATTCAATAGCTCACTAGTTCTTGATCAGCTATAAGTAGCGTTTCAGAAATTATAAAAAAAATCACTTATTTAATCCCTATTATTAGCATTATAAAATGCTAATTTTACAAAGCACCAAGGGATTAAGGCTTCTGTGGATGTGTTCTTCTCCTCAGATGTAGATGTCTCCCCCCAAAATGCTACAGAGAGCAGTAAGTATTGACCAGAGGGAATGGGCCATGCCAGCATTCTTGTAAGCAATTAACAGAAGTGCATAAATTGTGCAGATTGAGTTGACATAACAGCAAAGAAACAGCATGGCCAGGTCCATATAGGCACAAGTAATAGACATCATTTTTGGAACAGAGCAACAAATTATGATTGAAAGCTCAGGGTGATAAATTTCTCTCCGTGTGATTACTACAACATTTCCTGCCCGTGGTTAGCAGGTTGGGTAAAGGATCCTTATGAAAGGCATTTCTTTCTCTGATACTTATATAAGCATCATGACATAACTTTTACACAGGCCCAGTACATTTCATTTAAACTTATGACTTATAGAGAAGCTTGCAGAAATATTATATAAAACTGACAGTCATCTTATTAAACAGTTAAGATCATAGTAATAGTGTTATCAACAATAACGATATTTTCATTTTTCTTTCTCATTTCAGGGAGATTCTGGTGGACCTCTGATGTGTCAAGAGAACAAAAAGTGGTTTTTAGCTGGTGTAACATCCTTTGGCTACAAGTGTGCACTTCCAAATCGACCTGGAATTTATGCAAACGTTTTCAAATTTGTAGACTGGATAAAACGTACCATTAATTATTAACTAGAAATATAGGATTGAAAAAGAAAGACTGTGATTGTAGCATCTATATAATAAAGTTTGGTAGAATCAGATAAAAATTCATCATTCAAATTATGGCCAAGTTTGTGTTAGAAGTGATCTGAACACGTCTTTGAAGTTTCACTGACACTCACCCAGAAGTTGCAATATTTTTCTACCAGCTACTCTCTTAATGCTTGAATAAGAAAAGACAAGGGTAATTCAGATAACATACTGATTTGTTAAAAGTACAACCCTCAGTAAAACTGTGCCTTTAAATTTACTGAGAAGAGCAGTTCTAATAATTTTCCAAGACAGATGACATCATGAATTAAATTCTTATACAGAGTCTACTGCAGATAGGCTGTCAATCCATTTAAATATTTTTTTCTTTAAAAGATTTTTAAATGACTGTTTTTTTCAAACAGTAATGATATTTCGGTATATGTGTCATTACTAAGGTTCCAATCAGAAAACCTCAGTCATACACCTCCCTGATTATTCCTATTAACTCAGTTTATTAGGAAAGAAGTCAATGCAAAGTGTATGTATAGTTTATGCAAAAATTCAGGATACAGTACTGTTTAGCAGTATTTATGAAACTCTCATGTCTAGTCAAATGAGCTAGAAAATACTATGGGTCAAATTATTTGAACCAAGTAAGTAACTTTCTATTCTCAATTTAATTAATTTTAGATTTTTTTTCCTGCACTGCCTGATAGAATAACCAAACAAGTACTGCATCTTACTATAAGATGGAATGTTTGAAAAATAACCCATAACTATAAAAAAGCTTTCTATTGAAATCAATGGATAGGCTTTTATACTATTTCTGTGAAATCATGTATGTACCTATTTCATTCCCTATTTTAAATCATACTGTCAAAATGTGTTCAAGACATTTCTGTATTTTAAATAACATTAAACTGAACTCAGATAAGAAATATTGCAAATTCAGAAACAGCTAAACTTATCCATGTAATGAGAAAACTTTCAGTTTACACATAAAATAGTATCAATAGTCACTAATACAATAGTAATAAAATTATAAATCATTTGATTATGACACATTAACCATTCTGCATGGTTAATGCTCTCAATTAGCTCTCAGTTTATAACTCATAATTCTCAGAGTTTGTTTCTTAAAACAGTCCTCAATTTTTCTCTTGAAAACTGCAGGAAATGAAGCATTTATCACACATCAGGTCTCACTAAACTGAATTTATATATCTGAAAATACCATTGTTTTCAATAGAAGCATTTTGTCATTTATATCTGCAAATCACAGAATGCTGGAACAGAGATATGAGAATGGCTCCAATATGTAAGCTTTAGTGACAGTTCCAGCTAATGTACAAGTACTTCTGCTGTTAACATATGTTTCCATGTTGCCCAAGGAGACAGAAAAATCCCAGTATGATTTTCTTATTTTTAGGAAATGACGAGCACAATAGCATCAGACTCAGCTTTTGGTGATGTCATAGATATCTCTATGTCATTTTCTTGGCAACAGTATGGAAGCAATTTGGTATTGTCTTTAATTTTTTGAGGGGAGAAGTGGGGCAAGGGAATACTTTTTTACTTACAAGTCTATCCTACAGCCCTGGTATTTCCTGGAAGTCTTTAATTTAAACAGAATCATTAGGATAAGGAATATTTTTCAATAGCACTGAATGCATAAGTGAGGCACGCTAGATCAAATTGATATAACTTCTGTATGATGCAAAGTTGGAAATGGCATCTTTTGCAATTCTGAATGCACGCTTAGTATTTGTATGCAGTTGTTTACAGATTCTGAATATAGAATTGTGTGCAGTTATTTACAAACTCATAGAGTATGCGTGTGTGTGTGTGTGAGTGAGTGTGTTATATAAACAATGCCATACTGAGGATCTGTTTTGTAGATCAGAGCAATTTTGAGGCAGTTTCACAAATATTTTTGAGGACTTCAAATCTGGACTATACAAACAAAATTTCCAAAAGAATAAAAAAGAATCTTAGCTGGCTGCAGGAAATATTTGGAAGCTATTCTTTGTGTGAAAGGAAATATTATAAGATAGATATTCAACTCTTTTAATTCTACTTTCATTATTTTCTTATCTTGAAATTATTAAAAAAAAACCTGCACACAATTTCTTTATATATTCAAGTATGCAAAAGGTAATACTATATAGAAGTGGTATCAATTTCTGTCATTCAGGGACCAGGAATATGGGTGGGTTTACGAAGGAAAGAAGGAAGGAAGGAAGGAAGGAAGGAAGGAAGGAAGGAAGGAAGGAAGGAAGGAAGGAAGGAAGGAAGGAAGGAAGGAAAACTTCATGACAGTCTTTACATTTCATAATTCTTAAATGATTAAGAGATAGCATTTCTAAGTGGCATCATGGTGACTTCTCTTTCCTAGGATTTTATAGACAAAAGAACAACAAAAACAGAACAAGATACCAGTATGGAATAAGTTGTCAATCATACATTTCTGCCATTGCTTGTTCCAACAGTAAAGCATACATAGGAAAAGCTACTTTTTATTTCAATTTGTTTTCAGGGAATTGAATTGAATTGAATGTACTAATTCTGCTATTTTTGTACTAATTAATATGACCTGAGTAGAATAATTTGTGCTAACACTGGACAAGCATTATCAAAAATAGATGATAGCAAAGAATAATCAAGTACTGTGCATCATTTTCTTTGCCTTAAAAAAAATCTCATCACTCAAAGGAATAACACTGATAAATATTTTTACGTATATGAGATTATAATAACTCATGTTCTAGTGTAGCTTTTTTATGCAAAGATAAATTATCTTATTACATTGTAAATTAATATTAGCTGGAATTACAGTCCATCCATTAGTGAGAAATAATACAATACTATATATTGTAATTAATAATAGCAATAAATGTTAAACGTTAAATGAGAAATATTTGTTCTACAAATATACATAGAATGAATTCAAAATGTTCTGTCCATCTCATTAGTAGCTGTAGCCAAATTACTTTCCTTAGCAAAATAATCATATTCTTACTTTCTTTTAGACAGCTATGTTTGCTATGGGATTAAAAACCAAACACCATGTATTAAAAAAATTAATCCAAGCAATTGCCTCAAGGGGAAGCTTCCACTTCATTCTGTTGATCAGTTGCAATTTCAAGCCATTCCGAACTAATGTTTGACAAGACAAATTTAAGAGATCCTGAAAAGTATCATTCCTCTTTATTTTCAGCCAGTTCTCTATACTTCCAGGTTACTGTCCTTTCTTGGGTTCTTAGAAATCCACAGTGTTGACTGATCAGGACTGGTTTTTGTTCTTCCTTTACTGGAAAATTAAAAACAGAAATGCATGGCTATACATTTGGTGCACATAATTTCACATATTCAACTAGGAACTCTGCAATAAGGGAGGGTGGTAAAGAATAAATTGTAAAAATACCTGAATGTTTGTATTAGGTATATTGTTTCATTTACCCTGGTTCAAAAGCACTATATACATGTAACTGAAAACTGATCTTAGACTTAAGGAAGGAAGCCAAGCAGCCTATAAGTCCTATGCAATATTTAATACTCAAGACCTGTACCAATTAGCATACCAACTTAGTGCCAACTGAGTTTTTATAAATAACTTCTGCATTAATATAATTAAAGCATAAAACAATGTATAAGGGTCAATATAAAAGAGAAAAAAAGTGACATTGCCACGGGTGTATATTACAAGCCACCCAACCAATCAGAAGAAATAGATGAACTCTTTGTCAGCCAGTTAATAAATGTATGTAGGAAGCATACCACAGTAGTAATGGGAGACTTCAACTATCCAGATATCAACTGGGAGACAAACTCTGCAACAAGTGGGAGATCAAACAGATTCCTACCAACCTAGCTGACAACTTTGTCATCCAAAAGGTGAAGGAGGGAACTAGATGTAAAGCTATACTGGACTTAATTCTTACTAATAGAGAAGAAGCGATAGAAGGAGTTGAAGTTGCCAGAACCTTGGGTGAAATGACCACATCATACTGGAATTTAATATAATGCAAACACTAGCAATATTAAACAATCCAACCAGTGTCTTAAACTTCAAAAGAGCCAATTTTAACAAACTCAGAGAGAACCTAGGAAAGATCCCATGGATGAAAATCCTAAAGGAGAAAACAACTCAAGAAGCGTGGGAAACTTTGAAAAATGTGATCATAAAAGCTCAAATCATCACAATACCACTGAAAAAGAAAAACAAGAAATTCAAGAAGAAACCATCATGGCTGCAGAAAGATCTCTCTGACAAACTGAAAGAAAAAAAGGACAAATACAAAACACAGAAAGAGGGGCACATAACTATGGCCAATTATCAGCAGACAGCCAGAACATGCAAAGATGAAGTCAGGAAAGCAAAGGCTCAGAATGAACAAAGACTTGCAACAGAAATCAAGGATAATTTTAAAAAAGTTTCTTCCAACATATTAACAAGAAAAAAGTTAAGGAAACTGTAGGTCCACTAAAGAGAGAGGATGGCAAGGAAATAACAGACAAACAGAGCTGCTTAACTCATTCTTTGCATCAGTCTTCACACAAAAAGAAACTACACCACAACATACCCCAAAACCCCATTGTAAAAGACAAACTAGAAACAAAATTAAAATAAGCAGGAAAATGGTAAGAGAACACCTATCAGACCTTGACGAATATAAATCACCGGGACCCGACAGACTACATCCCAGACTTCTGAAGGAGCTGGCAGATGTTATCTCAGAAACATTGCACCATATCTTTCAAAAATCCTGGAGCACTGGGGAAATACCTGAGGATTGGAAAAGGGCTGATGTGGTTCCCATCTTCAAGAAAGGGAAAAAACACGGACCCAGGAAACTACAGACCAATCAGTTTAACATCAATACCTGGGAGGATCCTAGAAAACATAATCAAAAAACAGATCTGCGAACAAACTAGGAGCAAACAAAGTTATAACTAGTAGCCAGCATGGGTTTGTTAAAAACAGATCATGCCAAACCAATCTTATTTCATTCTTTGATAAAGTGACTAAACTAGTAGACCAGCGAAATACTGTGGATGTAGTATACTTAGATTTCAGTAAGGCATTTGATAAAGTAGACCACAACCTACTCCTTGGTAAACTAGAAAAAGGTGGAATAGACAACATCCCCAGCAAATGGATCTGTAGTTGGCTGGCAAACCGTACTCAACAAATAGCCCTCAGTGGCACCACATCCACATGGAGAGAAGTAAGCAGTGGGATACCACAAGCTTCCGTTTTAGGCCCAGTACTCTTCAATATCTTCATCAATGACTTAGATGAGGAAATTCAAGGGGAACTCATCAAATTTGCAGATGACACTAAACTGGCAGGAGTAGCCAACACCCCAGAAGACAAATTTAAGATCCAAAAAGATCTTGACAAACTTGAACAATGGGCCCTATCCAACAAAATGAGTTTCAATGTGGAGAAAAGCAAAGTTTTACATTTAGGCAGGAAAAATCAAAGGTACAAGTACAGATTAGGTGAGACCTGGCTTAAAAACAGCAACTATGAAAGGGACCTTGGAGTCCTAGTGGACGATCACTTGACTATGAGCCAGCAGTGTGCAGCAGCCGCCAAAAAAGCTAATACAATCCTGGGTTGTATAAACAGAGGCATAGAATCAAGATCACGTGAAGTATTAATACCACTTTATAAAAGACCACACCTGGAATACTGCAGCCAATTTTGGCAACCATATCACAAAAAAGTTGTTGAGAGTTTGGAAAAAATTCAGAGAAGAGCAACTAAGATGATCAAAGGCCTGGAAACTAAAACATGTGAAGAACGGCTGCAGGACTTGGGTTTGGCTAGTCTAAAGAAAAGAAGAAATAGGGAAGACATGATAGCAGTATTCCAGTATTTGAGAGGCTGACACCAAGAAGAGGGGGTCACATTATTCACCAAAGCACCAGAGGGCAGGACAAGAAACAATGGTTGGAAACTGATCAAAGAGAGAAGCAACCTGGAATTAAGGAGAAACTTCCGGAAGTGAGGATAATTAACCAGTGGAATAGCTTGCCTTCAGAAATTGTGGCCACTCCATCACTGGAGATTTTTAAGAAGAGGTTAGACAGTCATTTGTTTGAGATGGTATAGGTTCTCCTGCTTGAGCAGGGGGCTGGACTAGAAAACCTCCAAGATCCCTTCCAACTCTACTCTACTCTACTCTACTCTACTCTACTCTACTCTACTCTACTCTACTCTACTCTACTCTACACTACACTACACTACACTACTCTACACTACTCTACTCTACTCCATATTGAATTAAATTACTCTTTTAATGCCAACCTCTGAACAAAAATTGCAAGCTTTTTGACAGTGAGGGCTGCGTTTTGAATGATGTGCCATTGACTGTGTTCCCCAAAGAAGGGCAAGATGGAAAATAATATTTATTATTCTTTGTATATTTAAAACTTTTACTTCTTTCACATTAACAATTGCAACTCAGTGGCAAATTTGTGATAGGCTGCAATCATTTGCCTTTTGGATGATGGTGATGATGGTGATGATGATTCATTTGATTTGCTTCCCATTTTTCTTCTGAAAAGACATTCAAACTGGTTGTTTTAAATATTACAGCAGCATGGAAGGAAGCCAAATAAATTTATTAATGTTGCTGCTGATTTTAAAGGGTTTTCTCTGAACAAATGTGACAAAAACATATTCCCCAAACTATTTGTTCAGTAGGAACACTGCTAACTTCCCATGAGTTTATATGGTTTATCGTAATTTCAAGACTGTCAAAGCTCAAAGTAATTAATGTTTTTAATTCTGCTTTCAAAATAGAATCAAAAGATGACCTTAGAAACTGAGCAATGTACCAAGTTAGAATCTAAATGTTCTGTAAGGGATTCAGATGATAATGGAGATGAATCACTGAAGCAGTTTCTCCTTGCTTCCCTAGAAGAAAGAAAGGGAAAGCCTCTAAGCATGAATGGTTTGCCATAAAGCACAGGAGAAATGCTTGGTTCTTAATATTATGGGTTAATATTTGCATGTCTGATATAGATTTCCTCGTTATAACCAAATCTTTTTTTCAGTTTTGCTAAGCTACTCTTTCTAAATATTGGATTTAACTTCCAAAATTCCTCACTAACACATCACACATTTGGGAAGCAAGAGAAAATTCTTTGCTGCATTTTCTGGAGGAAATAAAACCAACAATTTTTATTGCAACTTTGTATCAACTCCTTCCCCTTACAACAGGGGTAGGCAACCTTGGCTCTTTTATGACTGGTTGGCTCAGGAATTCTGGGAGTTGAAGTCCACGAGTCATAAAAGAGCCAAGGTTGCCTACCCCTGCCTTATAACATTTCATTAGTCCTCCTGTGTTTCTTATCCTAGTTTCTGATTGTACATCATACACCCCTGGCAGAGAGTAAGCCTGTTGCCTTGTTGGAAATCAAATATCATCATTACCATATAGTTATTTACATGCATCCTTCCTGACCATCATTGTTGTTTTGGGGAACAGTTTGCAAAATGATTATAAATACCCCAGAAGATTGTGGAAGGAAGTTCTAACAAGATATCTGGTGAGATTTTTGGACTGAGTAGATGGCCTTTTTATTGTTTGTTTTAGGATCCAGCCACTTACAGTATATTTGACAGGTCCTGCACTGCCACGAAAACTGGGAAATACTACAATAAAGTAAGATTAAATATTATGAAAATAAGTAGCTAGAAAGATCCACACTGGGAGCATTGTTCAACTCTTTCTTCTGTAACAGCATTCCCACTTCACAATACAAAATGAACAATGACTATAATATTCCAAGAGGGGGGTGGAAAATGAACTGATCCATCTTTGCAAAATGGTTTCTTTGAATATTTTCAAAGCAGCAAGTACTATTAAGCATAACTGCTTTTGCTTAAAGCAGAATATATAATAGAGCATATTATTGTTCATATTGCAAAGCTTATATCTTAATTTTGATATTAGCCTGAAATGTTAACTCTCTAATGAAGTTATACAGAAGCAAACAGCTTACCTATATTGGTTTAACAATACTATTTGATCTATGACAGGGCCACAACTTGCTCCCTCTATATACACTGCATATTTTATCTTTGAGTAGGTGGCTACATTTTTAAATACATTCTTTCACAGAACATGCACTATGCAATATGATGGATGTCATTCAGGATGAATAGTCTTGTATGTTATGTAGACTGGACTTGAATAGGAGTAAGTGGCTGATGTACACATATATTCCAAAGAACATAAATCACAGATACAAATTATCATGTTTGATAAAACACTGAATTACCTTTTATGAATCATCTGGAAACAGCAAGTCCCAAAAGCCACTAATATCAACAACAACAGTGGTATGGTTGGTATAACAACGTAAATTAAATTAGGAATTAGACCTACAAAAAGAAAGAATATTATTATACTTTTATATATATATATATATATATATATATATATATATATATGTAACTAAATCTTTTCATCCAGAAATTTCTTCAAAGCCTCCTAACACTAATGGCAAAAATGATATTCCCCTATAATATACAACCAAGAGAAAGTTGCAAAATGTATCTTAACATTGCTTATTCTAGAAATTCATCCACCAATAGAATAAAAAAGCACTTAGACTTATATACCGCTTCATAATGCTTTACACACTCTCTAAGCAATTTACAGAGTCAGCATATTGCTTCCAACAATATGGGCCCTCATTTTACTAACCACAAAAGGATGAAAGGCTGAATCAACCTTCTGCCCATCAGGATTGAGTTCCTGGCAGTGAGCAGAGTTAGCCTACAAAACTGCATTCTAACCACTGCACCACCATGTCTCATTTGGTTGTACAAAAATATAACTAAAAATCTGAATAAAGTATATCTTAAAACCTTTTGGTTTATCTAGACTGCACTGGTGAAGAGAAATTGCCTTGGCCCACATATAAAATATATAATATATTTAATGTGTATAAAACACATAATAATGTTAAAGGTTTACAATCTTTTGGGGCCACATTATAGGCCACAGGCCACAGGTTAGACACACCTGTCTTAGAACATATGAATCAATGTTTTTTTCCTGAACAGAATTCCATGGTTTATATGAAATTTGTTTTGATGTACATTCAAAGTCACATTTTTAATCTAAACATTTCAGCCAGAGAACACATTTTAAAGACAGTGTAGAAACCAACTTTATAGTTTTGATTGTTAAGTATGTATAGCTACAAACTGAGCCAACTTGAATTCAGTTTAATAAATAATGTTCCTTAAATGCTATGCACTGTACATTAAGAAATTTGGAAAGACTCTTTGTTTCCCAAATATCTTATTTCTTATTCATGAATATATTTATATGCTAGATTTATAATCTTCATCTGCTCCAAATAATCCTTTTCCTTCTGACTCCCTTATCTATAGCATTCATTCATTATAGTTATTTTTAATCCCAGCCTTTTAATTGTATTTTGATTCTTTATCTATTTTTCTACAAATTAAATGAATCCCTCTACATATCAGTCATAAGGGGTTGGGAAGCCTGTCGTAAGAATGCCAAGAAAAATGGTAGACAATAGTAATGGAGCATAGCAAACCGTGAATGCAATTCTGCAGAAGTCTTCCCAATGTTAATTATCATAACTTCATTTAAAATTTATAATCACTTTACTCTCTTTAGTTTAAGGAAAGATCATTGCTGACAACTACCTAAAAACCATTTTCAGGCTTCCATATTTCTAACAGGGGGGGGGGGGAAGCAAGAGGTCTATAATCATTTCCTTAAACAATATGCACATAAGAGTATAAGGCAAATTTCTTCTTCACTGAACTTTTTTAACATGGGTGGAACGCAGACTGGTGAAGAGTTCACTAGAAAATGAGCCAGAATTGACCTCAATTATGTAGCAACTAAAGAACAAAGAGCTAGATTTAATGTATTCAATTCAATATATTCAATTTAGGCACCAACCAAATCCAAAATGAATCTGGCAACATACAATAAAGCCAAATGAAATAGAAAATATAATAAAAGTTATAAAAAGAAAAGGAATACAGAAGAACAGATTGTTAGACCACTAATAACATTCACACCCTAAACATATTCAACAGGATTTCCATACCCTAAGACTTGGGTGAACAACCAGGGTATTAGGACTTTCTGGAATGCCATCAGGGTGGGTGCCATATGAATATCATAGAAACTTCAATCCAGATAGCAAATGCCATCACAAAGATGACAACGTGTATCCTAATAGATGACAAATTTTAATTGAAGGGATTATGAAAATTCCAATCCAGAGCAAGGCCTCCAAATCCAGAATGGATACAATTAGTACACAAGATAAATCTGTGCAAAGGCCCCCTCTTTCAACAGGAGCTGTGAGTCTAGAAAGACCCTCAAACTGTGCGCCAACTCTGTGCCACCCAATCTAGAGTCAAAGATGATATATCACCAGAACCTGGGGGACTAAAAACCCAAAGCCACTCTATCTTGCCAGGGTTAAATTGGAGCCAGTTTCTTCCTAAAGCTTCATGGTATCCATGCGCTGCAGCACATCACCCAGAATATAGATGTATAACTTGATAGTAATTGACATACTGATGATGCAGCACATCATGCCATTGAATGACCTCCCCCAGGAGTTTCACATAGATATTAAAGACAAGCAGTCAAAAATCTGAACCCATCCCATACCACAGGAGCTAGGGTTAGAGCTATCCCCACCTGAACAACATTATAAGTCATAACCAGCAACTTGAATCACACTTGAATCTTACTGATAATTAGTACAGCTTTCAAAGCAGTGGTGTAACATAGGCATGCCAAGGCATGCCCATAGCATTGTGGACCAGTTGAAGCTCCAAGTAGCCTTTGAGGGCAGACCTGTGTATAGCCCTTGACAACAGTCAAGCCTGAGATAACAAAGGCATGAATGATCCTCTGTGCTTCCTTATCCAGAAAAGGATATAGCTGGTATACCAGTTGGAGCTGTGTAAAGACCTTCCTGGCCACAACTATTTATTTTGCTACTTCCTTATTGATCCTGAAGATGCACTAGGACTAGGACTTAGAGAGGCAAAACATTCACCATGCAAGCATATGGTACCAAGCATAAAAGTTATCATGTGATTAATCAGCAATTAATAGAGCCACTTCATTATTTATTTATTTATTTGTTTGTTTGTTTGTTTAATGAGCTACCATTTGTAAAAATTGAATTAAAAAAATGTTAATTGGAAAAATACAAATTTCAAGTTTGTTCACATGCCAACATTTTATTGGATTTTGTTTTTATTGCTGTCCATTTCTCCTGCATTCATATTCAATTGGCATTTCCAAAAAATTATACTTGAAATTCCTTATCTCGCTGCAATTTACTTTCTGTTGAATCCAAATTTATATCATTTTTCCTTTAAAATGCTAAATGCATCTAATTGGTCTTTCGAAATAGCCTTTTGAAATGTGATCTAAAAACTAAACGTATCAATTACCACCAGTTTCAGTAACGACCAATGGAAAATCATCTTCTGACTTGCTTGAATCATTAGGCTTCACGGCTGGCACTGTTGCTTGAACTTCTGAAAAAGCAATTTGGGGGGGGGGAAGTACAGTAAACTTGTTTTCTATATCTTTACATCTGCTTTTGTAATTGTACTTTTAAAAGATTAAAAAAATCTACAGCTAATCATTTTTAAAAGCAAGTGTGGGCGATAAATTCTGGCTATAGGTTTCTTTACTACATTGGGATCACATCTGGAATAAAAGTTATAAAAACTGCAATATTCTAAAGGGTAGCTATATGCTATAAAACACACAGTTGGATATTTTTCTGAATTGTAATGGTAGTTAAGATGTTTCAATTTAGCCTGCTTTTTAAATCTATTTTGATTTAAAAAATAATTCAGATTTTATTTCTCAACACCGCAATTCTGTCCAAAATGTTCTTACCATGATGTGGATCTGTTCTGTCTCCTGATTTTTTTTCTAGGATATCTTCTGTTAAATCAATAAGAAACAATTAAAAATATTATTTTTACTGTTTTGTACATAACATCAAAAATAACTTTAATAAGCTTTTTTCAGTCTTTATAACTAACCTTTCCTAGTCTACTTTCATTTGGAAAAGCAAATTGAATACTCTCAGTTCATTTTTCAGATGAACTGGACTTGTTGCTGTAATTTTCAAGCCTCAAGAGGCACTAAATTGTGGAAGACTCATTGAAACATGAACGTGCAGCACTGTATTTCATGGAATGAGATTTAGGAAAAAACAAGATCCAGAACGTTAAAAAAATGTTTTCTATTGTTATCCCATTCTTATTTCAAAGACCCTGTAATATATATGTGTCCTATTTTCATAGAATATCCAAAAGTAAAAACAGTGAAAGATGTATATATGAACTATACTGTATATAATAGAACAGAGTTATAGGGACATAAACTAAAAACATTCTTTTACACAAATAATTTATGAAGCACATTGATTTTACTTGGTTATTATTTTGAACATATTGCCTGACCAAGTTATGAGAGTACTTAGGTGAACTTATCTGAGCTTCTATAGCTCAATATCAGACCTGTAAAAATCTATTAGATTGCTATTGCACTAAATGATTTAGCAGTTTAAATGTCATCAGTATGAAAAATGCAGAAGACAAACACAAAGACAGTAACATTATTTAACAGAAAACTATACTATTCAGGGATTTCTCCCTTGGTTCTGAATCCAGATTACAAGGAAAGTGCCACTATTGATTTATCTGTGATTCAAAAGTAAAGATTGCATCAAGAACCTGGTTTATCAGCACTACCTGACTTATACTTGCAGATGAAATTGTGCTTCATATTACATCTGTCGTCATTCCATTGATAAAGATAAGGCCCTCCTAAACCTGGATTTGCAGATGGCTGATGATACATCACAACACAAGCTTCACTCCCACAGGAAGGCTCATCAGTATACCAATTTCTATAAAGCAGAAATATAACAAATGCAAAATATAACTTTTGAATCTTTATTATTATTATATTAAATAGGTTTTTTTTTCTTCCTCTCAGTTTTCCCACATTTCTAACTTAGCTAAGAAGTTGGGCTTTGTGCAACTCCTTCATTAGATTTTCCCATGCCAAATAAGTATAAGTTGCAGCAAAGATCTATTGCAGAATTTGTACTAACGTTTTATAAAACAAAAAACCTAAATGGAAATTGTTGGCATTCAAACCCATAATGGAAGGAAAAACTACAGTACATGTTCTGTAAAATATGTTCGGAAAAATTATTGAATGACAGTGCAGTATATGGAAAGAAATATGTTGTCCAAGATTCAGGAAGAAGTGAGACCAAAAATCACATTCCAATACATCCACTATTTCATGGGCAACTCTTGGTAGGATACTACCTATCATCTCAATAACACTGTAATGAACTCTATATGAACAAGGCAGAATGGAAAAGAATGGTACAAGGCCTATAGATAATGATAAAAATCCATGCTGATGTGGGGAGGCAATAGAAAAATAGACTATTAAATGCATAACTATCTGATAAAACCAAGATAATGGAAGAATGAGAAAATATGTGACATCTCAACACAATCCCCAAATTGGAGGGGGATTTATTGCTCTTAGCTCATATACTGAATATCTTGTCTACTGGAAACGTGGACCTGAATATGTCTTAGTCTTCTATTTCTAGAAGTTTGGGGGTAAAATATTAAGAGCTTTTACCTGAAGAGAGAACTGCTTCCATCTGTCCATTTGTAAAGATCAGGGCAGGCACTAGACGTAGTTTGTCCCTGTCTCCATAGACCAATCCAGAAGTCTCCATCAGAAATCCCAGGACCTGATTTTGTGAGATTCTGCAGCATACTTTCTATCAGTTTCTGTTCTGTTTCACTTTCAAGACTGAGAAGTACTCCACCTCCCATTTCACAAGCTTGGCGAGCCTCTTGAAAACCCACACGCCGAGACATGTCTTGAAAATAGGCAATCTTGTAGCAGGGATGTGCTGAGTCACCATAGCATATCTTTTGACCTAAAAAAAACCCCCCACAAAATAACACTATATAATTTTTATTAATATCCATAGATTTCAGCTACATCTTTTATTATATTATAAGTCATTCATGTTCAGACAATATTGCTTCCCCTGCTTCCTTTCTCTTTATTGCTAAAATTAAATTTTTTAAAGGCAAGAAACAATATGTACATAATGTACTTTGCTTGGTACATTTGGGATTATCCATTTGGAAACACTTATTTCACCCCAACCTATATGACATGAAGAAGGCCAAAGAAGAAAAAAAAAACATGGGTCCACTTGCTTCTCTCTGAGTACATGAAAAATAAAGTATTGGGAGTCCACTGAAAAAGCTAGTAAGTTGTTGGCATGTTATAGTTTCATTCCTTACTGTATTATTGCCCATTATGGGCTGTGTTGGAAAGCTGTTATCTATTCCCCTTGTAGTCATGACAAGTTCTTGAAACAACATACATGAAAAGGTGTTTTATTTCCAGGAGGCGGCTTTCCTGAAATGTTTCAGCTTATTCATTTTTACAATCTGAATATGGGTTAGATTATAATGTAGCCGAAAACATGACTTATGCTTTCTTTCATAATTTTTCTATCAAAACTATTCAAATTAAATATGGGGTTTGAACCACTCAATATACTTGCTCCACCACTGAATGCAATACATGTCATTACTTGACATTCAAAAGGCTTTATTTCTCTCTCAACAGAGGGGAAGGGATACAGCACCATCTATCTCCTGGAAAAACATGGTTATGTTTATTTTTTTGCTTGTGGATATTTAATAAATTATATAAAATTGTTAAATATGCAAAATTGAAAATTTATTCTAGCTATGAGAATGCACAGTGATGAGCAATAACCCATTTTCTAATTGTTCCCACACATAAGCGTAAATGTCTGGAGCACTTGGTTAATTGGGGACAACTTTTATCTCTTAAAAATTATCTACCTTAAGATACATTTCTCTATCAAAGTCTGGTATGAATAATGAGGCAAAATTAAAGAACAATGGTTTCTTAAAGATCCAATGGTCTCTGGTACCGAATCAATACAAGGCCCAGGGAAATTAAATAATCTATTCCTGCCTAATATACACATGTATCTGGTTTGCGATGCATGTTTCTCTTTTCTCTTATTGCAATTTATGTCAAATACAAATGATTACACACAGTGCTTTATTTGTAAAAAAAAAAAAAAAAAAGTGCCAGAACTCACACACATCATACAACCTGCCTTGCCTATCCAAAAAAGGTGCCGGAACTCCGTTCTGGGCGTTCTATGACAAAAAAAAGCCCTGATTATACACAATATCAAATGTTCTATTAAAAAAGCATTTCATTTCTTTTCTTTGCATAACCTCTCAATGAAGTTATAATTTCACTAGATAGGGTCAGAGACTAATTGCTTATGGAACTACTACGTTGTGGAGTCCTCAGTAGCCAGTAGCATAAGAGAGGCCATTATGCTGAAGCAAGCTGGCAACAGTTGGAGGAAAATAAGAGGTAATGACTGAGCAGTGAAGAAATAAGATCTGATGAAGGACCAAAACTTTGTATCTCATACCAACATCTTAGAAAATACCTGAAGATCAGACTTGATGATAGAAATGGGATTCATGTTGTACAACTATACTGAAATCCAAGCAGGGAGCAAAGTCCAGAAGACTTCCAGGAAAAATCTCACTGGAAGAACTTCAGCAATTAGTCTTGGAAATATCCTGGAAATCAGAATCAGAGTAGGATATTGACATAAAATAAGATTAAGTTCTAATTTCTTCTTCAGCAAATAAGATGAAGTTGAAAAGGAAATGTAGACTAAAATGTAGACTTAAAAGCTAATTAAAATCTATTAAACTGAAGAGTAATAAGAAACATAATGAACCTGAAAAAGACCCATTTAAGCTATTTTACTAATTTAGTTTAAAAATGTATTTAATTCACTATGAAAATAATTAATTCTACATATTTTAAACTTGTTCAATACCTTCTCAACCTGTAACGTAATATATGCTAGCTAATGAACAATGTATTTTTGCCTTTCCAGAGAACAAGCAGATCAGTCTCTGTAGAAAAATAAACAAACAAACAAACAACAACTGATCTCATGTCAACAACTGCAACATTCAGGAAGAAATGACAGAATATTTCAATATTCAGAGATAGTATATTGTTGACCCTGAGGTTACATTCTCCAAAATAGAAATTTCATTACGAAACTCCAGATGAATCAGAACTAATGAAGACTTGATTCCATTCATTTTTGCTTGAATAAATACAAATGCTTCTCAGTTCTACTACAGGTGTTGATTAACATAGCAAAACTGAGATTGCCACCAATTACAGATGTTACGAATTTTTACTTTTATATTTTATTGCATTCGGAATTATTTCCAATCTTTGTGCATTTATATAAGTTTATAGAAAATTGGAGATACGGGAACCAGTTCAGAATAATATTTCATGTGTCTGCTTTCCACAAAAAGTTTGTATGGCATAGTAAGAGTATGGCATATTAATTTTGTATGGATAGTAATTTTCTCACACTAAAGTTGGAAGTAACTAACAAAGCATATAAGTCATCATAAGATTCCTGCCATTCAATTGTTTATAGAGAATAAGAAAAAATAAGGATAAAAGATTATTGCATGGATAAAAAGGGATATTTATTTAAAATATTTGTATGGCCACTCATCTTAAAGACAAATGTGGGTGGTTCACAGGATAATGTCTATTTTCTGTTAAACTATTTCTCATGTCTCCTGTTTTCATTCGCAATAGTTTATTTAGTTTGTAATATATCTGTTCCTCTAATATGGTCTTTGGCATATTGTTTTATCACTTAAATTAGGTCTTCTGGAATCACAGCAAAGAATGGCTCCATCTATAACCTATCATATGATTATCAATCATCCTACCTTACCATTTTGTAAGAACGTTAATCTGTTGATTAATTAAATTAAGCACAAATGTTTTACTGCAGTGTTCTCCTTTGTATTGTCAGTGTAACTTAGTTAGAAATAGAATCACATTATATTATGACGCTTCAAATGCAGCTGCAGGAGTATAATTTCATAACTGTACTCTGCATCATTAGGAACAGAGACGTATATAATTTAAACACTTTTTTGCTGGCAAAGCAAATTTTCCTGATTTAACATTCAACTAATCTTTCTGCTCAGAAATTATTTTATGTCAGGTTCTCATAAATACAATCCACAAAACTAGTCACTAGTCACAAAACAATCCACAGTTACTGATACCTTATAATTCTGAACAGTGTTCAGCAATAATAGAAGAGCCGTCTAATTAATTACATTAATTAAAGATTAAAATATAATTCTAAGCTAGACACAGTGGTGAGATTCAAATATGTGAACAACCGGTTGTCTGTGTGTATGCCGCTTCCGGAAGTCCATTCTGGGCCTGGGCAACAAAAAATTAGCTACCGGTTCTGCCAAATTGGTGCAAACTGGCTGAATCCCACCACTGGCTAGACATATTAAATATTTATTAAAAAATAATGATCTCTTATCTTTCTTAAAGGACAATTAGGATGGAGGGGCCAGCAATTTATTCCATAGTGCAGGCAAACCTTCAAAAAGATCTCCCTATGTTTGGAAGGTCATGACCTACAAATAGGATGGCATGCTATGCTATGGGACCAGAAATATAGGTCACATTGCCTTTCTTTGGAATTGGAATGTAAACTGACCTTTTCCAATCCTGTGGCCACTGTTGAGTTTTCCAAATTTGCTGGCAAATTGAGTGTAACACTTTTACTGCATCGTCTTTTAAGATTTTGAATAGCTCAGCTGGAATACTGTCACCTCCACTAGCTTTGTTGTTGCTCAGCTTTCCTAAGGCCCATTTCACTTTACATTCTAGGATGTCTGGCTAAGGTCAGTAACCATCCCATCGTGGTTATCAGGGACGTTAAGCTTGTTCTTGTATAGTTCTTCTGTGTAATTTTGCCACTTCTTTTTAATCTCTTCTGCCTCTGTTAGGTCCCTGCCATTTTGGTCCTTTATCATGCCCATTTTTGCATGAAACGTTCCCTTCATATCTCCAATTTTCTTGAAGAGGTATCTGGTTCTCCCTATTCTATTGTTTTCTTCTATTTCTTTGCACTGTTCATTTAAGTGGGCATTCTTATCTCTTCTAGCTATTCTTTGGAATTCTGCATTCAATTGGGTGTATCTTTCTCTTTCTTCCTTGCCTTTCACTTCCCTTCTTTCCTCAGCTATTTGCGAAACTTCCTCAGACAGCCATTTTGCTTTCTTGCATTTCTTTTTCTTTGGGATGGTTTTAGTTGCTACCTCTTGTACAATGTTGCGAACCTCCATCCATAGTTCGTCAGGCACTCTGTCTATCAGATCTAATTCCTTAAATCTATTTGTCACCTCTACTGTATATTCATCAGGGATATGATTTAGTTCATACCTGAGTGGCCTAGTGTTTTTTCCTACTTTCTTCAATTTAAGCCTAAATTTTGCAACGAGAAGCTCATGATCTGAGCCACAGTCAGCTCCTGGTCTTGTTTTTACTGACTGTATAGAGCTTCTCCATCTTTGGCTGCAGAACACATAGTCAATCTGATTTCTGTGTTGACCGTCTGGTGATGTCCATGTGTAGAGCCATCTCTTGGGTTGTTGAAAAAGAGTGCTACGATGCTATGACCATCATATTTTCTTGACAAAATTCTATCAGCCTGTGCCCTGCTTCATTTTGTATTCCAAGGCCAAACTTGCCTGTTATTCCGATTATCTTTTGGCTTCCTACTTTAGCATTCCAATCCCCCATGATGATAAGGACATCATTTTTTGGTGTTGATTCTATAAGGTGCTGTAGGGCTTCATAGAACCGGTCAATTTCATCCTCTTCAGCACCAGTGGTTGGGGCATAGACTTGGACTACTGTGATATTGAATGGTTTGCCTTGGATTCGAACTGAGATCATCCTGTCATTCGGGGGATTGTATCCCAGTATTGCTTTTCCTACTCT